GCCCAAACAAGGGGTTCTTGAAAATCCAGAAAAGTTTTTTAAAGCAAGTTAAGCCAGAAAGACGATCCCGTTCGTCTCCGCAAAACGTCATTAAAAGAGCATAGCAAGAGACATAAGATCGCTAAGCTATCTGTAACTTACCAGTTCACCATCATCTCCAGCTTCTTCGCGAACCACAGCTATAGGCAATCGACGTCCACGCATCGTCAACGTAAACAGGCGAGGGTTTTTCTGTCGAGTTTGCTCGCGCAGCCATGTCACTGCTTGTCGGGCCCCTTCCGTTGCTCCTTGTACTCGCGGATTACTCAATTCACCATGTTGCAGGTCGATTAGCTCTTCCATCACTGAAAAAGTCAGAAATGTGCGATGACCATTTACGATTGCCAACATAAATGATGTGTTCAAGCGAGGAATATCGAAGACAGACCTGTCGTTGGAATCAATACTCGGAAACGTTCGCACTGCAAGATTTTCTGGATAGCGCTCAACTGATCAATGAAAGCGTTCGTATCGATCACCAGGTAGACTGGTTTCACCTTAAACAATGGAAATGCAGAACTAAAAATAAAAAAGGGCAATGCTATAAATAGATGTATCAAATCGTAGTAAATAATAGTAACAGAATACGATAGCACTAACCACCAACAACTGTTCGTGTTTACGCATTTCTCGTTCGAGAAGCTCTTCTCTTGTCAATGGCGTTGAAACCCTCGGTGACTCCTGAGAAATGAAAATGAATCCTCAGCTAAGAATCAATAATTGAAGAGTAACTATTTTATTTACACGAGTACCCTTTATAAATAATGCATACGATAGGAACTTCACTGTGCACAATAACAGTGCTAAGGATAAACTGAGCCAAATGTACCTCAAACTGTTGAGTATACGGGGCTTTTGAGCGCTCTCTCAGATCACCTTCAACATGCTCACTCCTTCTGAATCGTCCAGTTTTCTCACAGAAGAAGAAACATGATAGGTCTGAGCCATCCAGGTACTCAGAGGCCAACAAAAGTTGCGCTAGACGTATTTGGAGTGGTATTAACTGAAAAAATAGGTTATTCCGACCAGAGTGACACCTTGTAGTCAACTAAGAAGAGTTTAAAAATTTAAAAAGACTATTCACCGTATCTGGGGTCTCGGTGGTTGCATCGACAAAGCGGAGTACACG